ATGGTCGTGACCACAAAGAACGCACAGGTCAGTTTGCTGGTCGTTCGCAACGCCAAGGAGTGGTCTCACGAGGACGCGGACGGCGGCGCGGGCGAACCGGCGATGATATCTGCCATCGACGTGGTCACGCATGCCTGCACTGTTTATTGGTGCGAGTGTCGGCAGGTCCACGACTGCAGAATCGGCAGGAAGGGCGAGCTCTGCAAGCCGTCAGGCGCCATCCCGAGGTCGCTTGGAAGGGAAGACGGGCTGGCAAGCGTGCGCATGGCGCAGTCCGCCATGGAAGCCATGAAGACTCTGTTCGAGGGCCGCGGCAAGAAAGGACACCCGATCACAACCCTGGTCGAGCCGTTTGCTCGGCAGGTCTCGCCGCTCGCCCGACAATTCTCCTACGCGCAGTGCGCAGACAAGACGCAGACGGTCATCATATCCGATTGGGGCGACACGTTGTTCCCAACCACATACGTGAAGCGCGATCTGGACCTCTCCCCCAATCACGGCCTGAATGACCAGGCGCCCAATCCTCTGATGAAGGTGCGTGCCCGGACCGCGCTGGCGAAAGCCGCGGGCGCCGCCGACCGGCCCCTCCGTCTGGCGGGCGAGCGCGGGAAGGTAGTCATAGTGACTTTGGCCAAGTGTCCGTGGTCACCGATTCTTGCAGATGCTTCTATCCTGGGATCGGCGAGCTCATCGAGAAACTCAACATCCAGATTGCGTACGCGCGGGATGGCGAGCACAGAGACCACAGCAAGGTCAGCGAGATGGCCCAGAATCAGTTCGAGAAGTTCTGGGCTGAGACGAAGGGCATGGCCATCTCCGAGGCGCCGGGAGAGTTGCATAGTCTGATAGGTTTGTAGACTGCAGGTTAAGTGGGAGGGGGTGTGGGCCCAGGTAGCCATTTTGGGTCCGTAGCGTTCGGCTCAGGCCGACGCGCGGGTGTTCCAGGGGGCCGCGGTGCGGCCATAACCGCAGCCGTGCTAGTCCGCGGACTAGGGGGCGCTGCTGCGGTGCCATGGCTGCGGGCTTCCTTGGGGCGCACCTGATGATCCTGGTTATGGGTGGTGCTTTCTCGGCCCAGGGGGCGCCGAGCTGGCTGCCGTTCGGGCGCGCGGGGGGCGAGGTCCCAGCGCCGACGCCGCCAGCCTTGCCCGGGCCGAAAGCCCCACCGACAGGCGGCGGGGGGCAAGGCAAAGGGCGGGGCCCGCCTGCCAAGCCCGCGCCTGAAGGAGGGAAGGGGCGAGGGCCGCTGGCCAAGCCCCCGGGGGTGCCAGGCGCCCCCTCGCCGCCGCAGGCGAGGTCGACGACAATGACCACCCCTGCGGGCTCTGGGCGCGCGGGCAGGAGCGAGCCCTCTGGCAGCCCTGCTACGCCGGCGCGTGAGGAGAGCGACGGGCCCGCAGGCGCGCCTGGGCAGCCATCCGCCCCGGAGAACGGGACGGGCGATGGCGAGCTTGACCAGCCGCGCGGGCCGGACGGATATTGGGGGTGGAGCGGTTGGGTACCGCACCTGCCCCGCTGGTGGGCCGGCCGGAGCACGCCTCCGCCACCGCCTCCGCCGCCCACCCCGCCCCCTGAGACGGAGTCAGGTCCAGGCTGGGGCTTCGCCGCCTGGGTCTTCGAGTTCGTGGGCTACGGTGCGTGGGTGAGCTCTCCCGACCACGCGGGCGCGATCCGCGCGAGCGGTGGCTGGGTTGGATCCGCCATCGATCGGCTGGGCGTCAAGATGCTCGGCTACTGGTGGGAGACCGCGGTCCTCTGCTTCGCGTTGGGCATCTTCACGTTCGTGTTGGGTGCCCTGGCCTTCATCGTCAACGCGGCGGCTCGGCCTATGCTGTGGGTTGCTAGTGGGCCCCGCTGGGCGTGGTGCCAGATTTCCCGGTGCTGCCGGCGGCGCGGAGGCGACGGGCCCGGCGCCCACCTTCCCCCTCCCCCTCCGGCGCCCCTGCTGGTGCGCTGGCGCGGGCCGGGGTTAGGCGGCGTGGTGGAAACGGAGTTCTACACAAAGGGGGTGCGCGGCCGGGGAACTAATCGGGCGTACAACCATGTGATCCTGCGTAAGCACGGGCAGGTGGCCCGCGTCAGCTGCAACTTCGCGGACCGGTATCGGCTGGACCGCCACGGACTCAACATTAAGATCGGGCAGGTCCTAGGGTGCACCAGTCGCAAGTGGCGGCTGAACCTCGAGGAGACCGGCAACGTGCACCTATGCCGTGCCGTCGAGTGCGCATCTTGCCCGGTGGCGCACCCCATGCACGTTGACCAGTACGCGGCCATCGACCACGCGCAGATCGTGGACTTAGCCGAGCACGGAAAGGCTACCGCCTGCCGGGCAGTCGGCGTGGGACTCCGGAAGGTATTCGGGGTCTTCAAATGGCTGCTCTGCCTGCCCTGGTCGGTGTGCGGATGGCTGTGCCGTGCCCAGCTGGAGCCCCGCTGCATCACCGACGCCACGGGTTACCGCCGCCTGGATATCGATTCGGAGAGCGAGGTGGAGGCTGAGGAGCGCCCCTGCCAAGCCGCACAAGTTGGGGTGCAGCTAGCAGGCGGAGCACGCCCCCTCCAGCCTGAGGGGTGCGGGGACCGAGGGATGCAGGAGGCGACTGTCCTGCTACAGGAGGATGCAGAGGTATCGGATGTCCCTCGGCCGGGGCATTGCCTCAACGCCCAGGTGCATCTCTGCGCCCGCCATGCTCAGAAGTATCGGTCCACCCTCATCGGCCGCAAGTGCAGCCCCCCCACATGCCTCCGCATGGCGAAGGGTAGCTGCGGAGGGGCTCCGATGTGCGGGGAGCACTTTCGACGGGACGAGGGCCACACCGTGCGCGTCGAAGCGACGGTCCAGCCGGGGATCCTCGGAGGCCTACGCCGTCGCATGAGAGTGCGGGCACCAAGCCCCGCCAAGGCGCGCGACTGGACCGCGCGCGCCGCCGGCGGGGTAAGCGTAGCGCCAGGTGCGGCCTACCCCCCGCTCGCTGCGCCACCACCCCCCGCGGTGGCCCCGTCGGTCGATCTTGATCCTACGAGGACCCAGGCCCTGGCCTCAGGACCGCAGCCGCGTCGATCACGATCCGCGGAAGCGAGGGCCAGCGAGCGCTCGCGGTCAGCCGACCGTGGAGCTCTGGGCGATCGGATCGCCCATCACGGGTGGCTTCAGGAGCCTATCCTCGTGAAGGTCTGCCCGATCCTCCCGGACGACCCCCGGGGGGCCGAGGATGCACACGGCGCGCCCCCGGTGAGTCCATGGTGCATTCTACTGGGTGAATGCGAGGGGCTCGACGCACGAGGCACGGGCGGGGGCGCCCGACTTATCATCGGGACTAACCTCGAGGGTGTCCGGGTGGAGGTCCCAGCCAGCGAGGTCGCGCGGCATCCGCCCCCTCTGGAGGACGGGCGTTGCCCGATTGATTGGATCAATCGGCTGCTGTATGAGGTCCCCCAAGGCGCGCGGGAGGTGGGGGTGCGTGTCATCGCCCACCACCTCCCGCAGGATCTGCTGGCGATGTTGCGCCAGGAGCAGCGGGGCGGCGCGGGCGTGGAGAGCGCGAGCGGCTGGAGGCGGCGCTACCTGACGAGCACGGAGCGCCAGCAGCTACAGCACGACCCGGGACGCACGCTCGGCCGCCACTGGCGGGGCGGCGCTCATGGAGCGCAGCTCGCGCCCGGCATGGAGGGCCTGCCCCGCCCAGCCCCAGTTGCAGCCCCACCGCGCCCGGCGGCGGCCGCCGCCAGCGCGGGCGAGGATGCTGAGGAGCCTGACCCCCTCGAGATATTTATGGATACCCTACGAGCGGAGGGTCTCAAAAAAACGAGGGGGGCAAGCAGCGGCCCTCAGCGCGCTGGGCATGACCGCTGACCTACTCGGGATCCCACTTGGCCAGGCGGACCGGCAGCTGCGGAGGAGGGTCGCTCAAGTGGCGGCGGCGGGCCCCTTGGGGCCCGATCTGGAGCGCGCCCTCGCGGATCTGGAGGACGCGCAGCTGGAGGCGCGCGCGCGTGAGCGTGCCGCGGCCAGCGACAAGGTTCCCTTGCATGGCAGCCTCTCACGCGAAGGATCGCGGAGCCGCTTGGCGCGGGGACGGGATCCCAGCCCGAGGCAGGTGCCCCGGCGTGAACTCTTCGGGGCCGTTCCCGCCGTCCGACCCACGGACCCGCGTCGCGGCCTACTGGGCGATCGCGACTTACTGGCGCGCGAGGGACGCGGGGGCCCCGCTCGCGGGGCCAATCCGCTCCTCGACGGGCCCTCGATCCTTGGGCAACTCACCGGCCAGTCGCCCCGCGGGGGCGGGATGGGTGGAGGGCGTGCTGGCGGTCCAGACGACGCCGGGGCACCTGGGGCCCTGGGTGGCCTTACGGCCGAGGCCGAAGCCCAGATCATCGAGCGGTTGGATCGCCAGAATCGCCTCACCGAGCGCCACGTCCTTGCCGCCGAGCGGCAGGCGCGGGCCACCGAGGGCGACACGAAGGCCCGGGGCACCCGGACGGGGATCGGCCGGGGCGAGGAGCTGGATCTCTACATAGCCAGAGGATGTAACACCTTCGTGGTCGAGGCCTGCGAGGGGATCACTGGAAAGGATCTGCTCGACTCTCTCAAGCGCATGTGTGCGCACTCCAAGAGCACGCTCAAGACGATCGGGTTTCCTTGCCTGGTTACTAACCGCGTAGCGCACAGCTACGCGGCGCTCGCCTTCGGGACGGGCCCACACGACCTGGGAGTAGACGACTGCATCCCGGCACGCGACGAGGACTTCGACGGCTACAGGCTCCCTGTGGACGACAAAGTGGAGCCCCACCAGCGGCCCGCCACACACATGGCGACTTGGTTTAAGAGGGCCAGGTGCGAGATCCAGATGTTCGAGTCCATCGTGGGAGTAGCGCACGGGGCTGAACGCCGGCGGTCACTGGGTTTCTTGGAGGCGGCCTTCGAGAGGGATCCCTCGGAGTTCCCAGACCACTGGGTCAAGGATCTGTGGGAAGAGCTCCGGAGTACCTGGGTCGAAGAGCTACGGGAGCTGAGACGTCGGATCTGCCAGGAGCTCGACACCGAGAACCCGAGGAAGGAGGACATCAAGTACATTCTGCTCATGCCGGAGAATGGCTACGACCTGCCCCGAACGTTCGACCTCGGGGACCCGAATGCCTACTACCAGCAGAAAGTGGTACCCCGGCGCAAGGCTGCACTCACGCGCCTCCTCAATGGGCAACTGAACGCCCATCTTACGAAGAGGCCGCCGAAGGCGGGAGGGGGTGATGAGATAGGCGAGTCCCAGCCCTCGGCGCTAGGGGGCGACAGGCCCAAGGCGGGGGCTGGGCCCCAGCCGAAGGCGGGGCCCAAGGCGGGCGCCGGTGCCCCAGCGGGGACGGCACCCAAGAGGGCGTATCCGGCGGGCGAGGAGTTGACACGCCAAGAGCGTGCGCGCTCCGTGGCGCGCGCACCCCGCAATAAGGACAACGTCCCCATTTGCTGGGGGGCTACCACGCACATGGGCTGCTCGCGGAAGGCTTGCGACTGCCCTAACTCCCATGACCCCATCAAGTCAACGCGCGGGCTGGACTACACGGTGGTCATGCAGCTCACGAGGCGCGGGGGGCTCCTTGGGACGCCACGGATCGATCCCAAACAGGTGGATGGGATGATCGCGCAACTGCGCTCGCAAGCCAAGGCAGCCGAGGCCGAGAAGGTCCGCGAGGACGCCACTCCCCCTGCTGCCCCTGGCTCCCAAGAGGGAAAGGGCCGTGGCCGGGGCATTGGCTCGCGAGCGGCGGGCGACCCATGCCCTGGGCAAGCCCCGGACGACTACGCTACTCTCCAGCTTACCGCGATGGAGTCCGACCTCCGGGAAGCGGTCAAGGGTCCCGACTTCGGATGGCTCGAGGAGCACGACTGCCCGCGCGCGGCGACCACTTGGGACGCCCAGCCCACGGGGGAGGGACCAGAGCTCCGCCGCAAGCTCATGCAGGAGCTTGAGTCCGAAGGCATCTTCGCGCCTCTGAAAGGGGCCAGTGAGCATCTGCAGAGCCAGGCGCGCGGGCGCGTCATGGGAGCGCGCCTGCGCGGGGTGCGCCTCGCCGTGGAACGGGCCCTCGAGGAGGCCGTGGACCGCGGCCATCGGGGACTCAGCAGCGAGGCGGCCGACCTGCACGAGGCGCTCAGCTGCGCCGCAGGATGCGTCTCCGAGGGCGGGGCCGAGGTCGGCCCAGTTGCCTGGGATGCCGACGGGCTGATAGGTCGCGGGTCTTACACCTTCTGGGATGGGGGCACCCGCATCCAGTGGGCCTTCCTCGACTACCGGGACCGCGTCAGCCTTGCCCTGAGGTCCTGTCCGGTTAAAAAACAGCTGTTGAACAGCTCCGGCTGAAAAATAGCTCCCCAGCTAAAAAATAGCTGTTGCTGTTGTTTGCTTAGAATTTCAAGTTTATGCCCACTTTTCATTTGATCTGTGTTAATTATTTCGGAGCGGCGTTCATTTTCATGTGTTCGTGACTTGTCCGCTGTCACCTAACGTCAAAAAGAGGAATATTGAAAAGAGATGAGAAGAACCCGAGCACGAGGAATAAGACGGGTAAGAGGAGGAGGAGGAGGAGGAGGAGGAGGAGGAGGAGGAGGAGGAGGAGGAGGAGGAGGAAGATGAAGGAGAGGAGGAGGAGGACGGCATGCACCGCAAGTGTTCACGTGACATGAGCATCTCTGCCCCAACCGATGCAGGATCGAAGCGTTTATACGATAGATCACATCAATTTGTAACGCACTTCGCTGGCACAGCACGTGCTCAAATTGTTGAGAAAGTCTCGAGCGGCAGTTTCAGTTTGCGTGTTCACAAAGGAATAGTGCCTTGACTTCAGCATGAGCCACGAGCAAGCTCGAGGCATGACCTCCATCGGAGGCTTTGCGTCAACGGGTGCAGATTCATGGGCCCACTCCCAGCAGGCCCGCAGCCATTTTGGCTCTGATGGCGGAAGCGCCCGACGGTCGGTCGGGCCGAGCCTCTTCGACAGCCACGCAAGAGCAGCTCGATGCGCTTGTAAGAGACATATTAGCTCTTCAGACACGGTCTCATACACATCAAAACTCGATGGGCCAGTAGACTGGAAGGTTATCGTGAGACATTCTGCGCTCATCACCGAGCTCAGGGCAGCGTCTCCCGCGGGGGGCATCAACAAAGTGCCGTTCAAGAGAGCCCTGCAGAACCTCGCGAGCTCCAAGGAGAGCGAGCGGCGCCTTTCGCAGAGCAAGAGCGGGTGGGCAGAGCAGATCGGGAGCAGCATCAGGGCAATGTTGCGCCACGTGTCCACGGCTCTCTGCAGGCGTCGGCGCTTGAAAACCCGAGCCCGCCCGTCGGAGGTGGCCCAGGGCGCGGAGGCATGGAGGGCGGCGCTTATGCCATGGACTGCCACAAAATGAGGAGGAAAAGAAAGTTACGAATGAGGAGGGGTAGGAGAGGACGAGGAGGAGGAGGAGAAGGAGGGGGAGGCGGAGGAGGAGGAGGAGGAGGAGAAGGAAGAGGAGGAGGAGGAGGAGGAGGAGGGGGGGAGGGGGAGGGGGGGAGGAGGGGAGGAGGAGGAGGATGAAGGATGGAGGATGGAGGATCGAGGATGGATGAGGCGGAGGAGGCCGAGGAGGAATAGGAGGAGGAGCAGGTGACGTGAACAGCGCGAGCCCCGCCCCGCCCGCGCCTTCCCAGGCCAGACGAGATCCCGAGGTGGGCGGAGGAGTTCAAGGGCGACGACGCGACCGCGCTGTCGGGGCCGCATGGCGAACCCCCTCCGGACACCGTCTGGCGAACTCGCGCATTCCCTGCCACCTCGAGTCCCAGGGGCCAACGTGAAAATCATTGGAGAAGAAGAAGGAGGAGGGCGAGGAGGAGGAAGAAGAGGAGGAGGAGGAGGAAGGCGAGGGGGATGATGAGGAGGAGGGGGATGAGGCGGAGCAGCAGGAGGAGGAGGAGTTGGAGGAGGAGGAGGAGGAGGAGGAGGAGGAGGAGGAGGGGTGGGGTCATTCGCTTCCGACTCCTGGAGAGGACAGCCAGCCCTGCGGCCACCTGGGCGACGACGTCCCAATCAGCCCGATCGCTTATCCGAAGGTTCTAGCAATCGAAACACGCAACGCCATCGGAGGCGGCGAGCATCAACGAAACGTCAATGCAGTGTCAACGCTCGCGTTGACGCTGCAGTGACGCTTCGTTGACGCTCGCTGCTGATGATAGAGACGCGTGCTTCGATCATCAACAGGTGCAGGAGGCGGCCAAGGGGCGCAGCCGCGCCTCGCACCCGCCCCCGAACGATGACGAGGTGCTCGACAAGGGCGACACGTACTTCTACGGTGTGGCAGCTGATATGAAGGTGGGATCTCAACCATATGAAATATGAGGGTGAAAACGGATGATGAGGAGAGGGAGGATGAGAATGAGGAGGAGGAGGAGGAGGGGGAGGGGACGGATGAAGGAGACGAAGAGAAAGAGGAGGAGGACGAGCAGCAGGATAACGAGAACGCGGAAGGGGTGGAAGCATAGGAAGCGCGAAATAATGATACCTCGATGAGATGGAAGCGGATACAGCTGATGTGGAAGAAGGAAAAGGTGGGAGGTGAGGGGGATGAGGAGGCGAGGAGAAGGTGGAGGAGGAGGAGGAGGAGGAGGAGGACGGGAGAAACTGCCCCTCCTCCTCATCCGCTCCCTCTTCTTCCTGCTCCCCCTCTCCTCCTCATCGGCCTCGTCCTCCTCGTCATCCTTATCTTTCCTCCTCGCCGACTTCGCCCTCCTCCTCCTCCCCCTCCTCCTCCACCACCACCGCCACTTTTTTTCTCTCTTGCGAGGTGGCGTGGAGGAAGAAGCGCGACGGTTCTGATCATCGAGAATACTCGACGGCCGTGACCGAGGAGCTCGATGACGACAAGACCGTCCGCGTCGCCGAGTTTGGCGGGGCGGCAAAATGGGCAATGCCGAACTCGGCGATGCCCCCAGAGGCGGCATCCGAGAAGCAAGGGGCGGCGACAATGTGGAGCGGCCAGCTGCGCGACGACAGCAGCGCCACGGTAAAGCTCACCTGGGTCACGAGGACTGACGAGAAGTGGCTGGCGCCGTGGGCGACGCGGCCCAAGCTGCGTGATCAGCGGCAACTCCAGCTGCTGAAGTACGCGGACGCAGCGGCCGCGGAGGCTTTCGTCAAGAAGCTCGCGATGGACTTCGCGGCAGGGAAGGTGGACAAGGCAGAGATGGAAGCGCTCAAGAAATCATGGGTGGAGAATAACGGCGGTGCTAGCGACGGCGCCGCGAGGAAGCGCCCTGCCGCCAAGGCCAAGGCAGGTGCCAAAACGAAGGTGCAGACGACTACTGGGGGCGATCCTAAGTTCGAAGAGAAGGGCGGCGACGACGGCGAGTCGCCCGCAGATGACGATGGCGAGGGCGACGAGGGCCATCGCAGGCATTCAGATGAAGCTGAAGATGGCGACGCTGGCGGAGTCGGCGCAGAGAACATGGATGATGGCCACGACGACGTCGAGACCAGCGTGCGCCAGAGGCCGGCCGCGAAGAAGATCATCGCCGCGAAGCGCCAGAAGCTGCAGGGCGCCATGAAGGGCGATGACAAGCTTGAGGACACGTCGTTGGGCGAGGGCAAGGACAAGACGTCGGCCAAGGGCGTGGAGCTGAACGCGCAGGAGGCCGCCGCAGAGGAGGCGCCCCAGGTGCTGCAGCCAGCAGCTGCAGCCAGCAGCGGCAGCAGCGGCAGCCAGGCGGTGTCGCAGGAGGTTGTCGCGGCGGCGGCGGCTGCTGCTTTCGCGCAGGCGCAGCAGGTGCGCATGTCGCGCGCGGCGGCGCCCGACTTCGAACTCCAATTGCATGTGCGGGCTAAATGTACTTAGCTACAACATGTTGGTCGCGGTTGAACCGCAAATGTGTGTTGATCTTAGGCCATCCCCCCGCGCTGGATTCGTTGGCTCATTGGGTGACCGCGTGGTGCGGCCCGTAACGTGAGTGGTTGTTGCAATCAAGCTCATAGTGAGTTCTGTGCCCCAACAGGTTCCGCTGTCATCCACTCACCCTCCGCCCCCGCGTGCGCTCTCATGTCCAATGATCCTCCAGCCTTCTCTTCCTCCTCCTCCTCCTCCGCCGCCTCCTCCTCCTCGTCCTACTCATCATCCACCTCCCGCCCACGTCTTTCACAGACAGTCGCAGCATCGCTTCGAATGAAGTTGACAAACGCCTTAGATAAGACGTGAGCGGGTGGATGCGTAGCCAGGAAGTTACGACCAGAACGCCAGGGCCCAGGGGCTGCCGTTCTTTTCAAACACGCTGCCAAGGGAACGGGCGACGCCCTCGGGATCAGGAAAAGGAGAAGCATGTGACGGGGTGGAACAGCTGGAGGAGGATGAAGATGATCGAGGAGGAGGAGGAGGAAGGTCGCATGCTGAAGCAACCGGGGCACCGAGAATTCATCTCACATTAAGCAGCCCCCCAAGAACGTCCTTGTACTAACGCAGGCATTATCCCCAAGCGACAGTCTAAGAAGTCATCGGCTCGGACGAGCCCTCCCGATTCCGACATTCGGTGGGGCGCAGTTCCGAAGAACTGGATGTCTTCTTCCCTGGGGCGCCAATTACTTTCCTTGGGGCCAGCCATGGCCGATGCTGCGGCGCAGCCATTACTGGAGCATCTACCAGAGGGGCCTGAACGCGCTGACGTGGTCCGCATCGCGCGGGAGAGGCAATCGGCGGAGGCGCAGGGGGGGGGGGGTCGAACGCCTTGCCGAAGATGAGCTGGAACACGCCATAGTTGCGTGCTCCTGCGGGGTGGCCCACGATCACCACCAATGCAGCGATGCCGAACTGCCGACGGACCGTTATCGATCTGTCAACGCTAGCGTTGACGGATCGTTGACGGTTCGTTGACAGTTGGTTCGCTATGGTTGTGATCGTGTGTGGCTAATAGACAAGTAGTGGAATCGCAGATGTGGCACGCTTGGAGACGCCTCAACCGTGCGATCTGTTCGAACAAGGGGTTTAGAGAGCTTATGAGGGGGGCTCTGCGCTCGGGCAGCTGACAGCGCTGGCACGGTGATGGAGGAAATCTTCGCCCCCGTGATCTCCGTCGATGACGACGCCGTTCCGCCAGGGCAGCCCGACCCAGCAGAGCAGCAGCAGCCATTGCCATCAGCAGAGCAGCAGTCGGACCCGAGCGGGCCGATGGAGGTGGATCTGGGCGCCTCTGGGGATTCCAGCGGCGTGGCGGGGAGCGGTGCCACTGAGCCCGAGGACCGAGGGTCGAACCAACCAACGCGCGTTCGGACCGAGGAAGGTTGAATGAGGACGACGATGGAGGGTGTAATGAGGTGGCGCGAGAACGGCAGACTGGGAGGGGGTGGCGACGCGAGGGTGGAGGAACGGGATGAAGGGGTGGATGAAAGGCGCGGTGACGAGCAGCAATAGGATCAGGGGGGGAATGAGAGGAAGCAGGAGGAGGGGGATGAGGAGGAGGAAGAGGACCTTACGCCGAGGATTGATCCCCCTCCTCCTCCTCCGCCTCCTCCTCCTCATCATCATCCTCTGCCTACCCTCGTCCTCCTCCTACTCATCCTCCTCCTCTGCCTCCTCCCCCTCCCCAACTTCACTCGTCATGTCTCCTCCCCTTTCACTTTCTCATCTCCCTCCTCCTCCTCCTCCTCATCACGTCGACGCCTGGCCTGGTGAAGGAACTCCAGGCGGGGGCTGCTGCTGCTGCCACTCCAGCGGGATGCAACCGCGACGAGGGGGAGACCCCGTACTGGGGCCCGCCGAAGATGAACGGGATCGAGGAGAGCAATCGTTGTCGTCGGCGCCCATCGTCGTCGATCCCGTCTCCATGAAGACGAGGAGGAGGAGGTGGGGGATGAGGATGTGAGGAGGAGGCGGAGGATGATGAGGAGGCGGAGGAGGAGGAGGTGGAGGGCGCGGGGGGGGGGGGGGGGAACGGGGATGAGGGTGAGACTTACGGAGGAGGCGGATGAGGAGGAGGAGGCGGAGGAGCAGCATCAGCAGGATGCGGAGGAGGGGGGGGGGGGGGGGGGGATGAGAGGGTGGAGGGGGGGAGTGGGAGGAGGACTAGGTGGAGGACGAGAGATCGGCGTTCTCGTCCCACCTTATCGGTTCACAATCAGTCTCGTCGTCGTTGCTTCCGAGAGGAGGTCGCTGGCAGCCATCGGGCAGCGACGACGCCGCGCTGTCGACGATCGCTGGCAGCCCCTCGACGCTGAGAGGTGAGAACCGCATGTTCGCTGCCAGCAGTGGCAGCAGCGGCGGCAGGGGGCGGCAGAGCTGGCGCAAGCAGCGCGGCGGCGGCATCGGCAGCGGCACCGCGGCATCGGGCAACGGCGGCGGCAGCGGATGCCCCCCCCCCGCGAAAGCGGCCGCGGGTGCTGGCGCGGGCGGGGTCCGAGCCCATCTTCGGCACCACGCAGCCCGAGTGCCCCGAGACGCCGATCAAGACCGCGAGGCGATCGGGCTCGTCCGAACCCACGGGGGTTATGAGTGGTATAGGAAGCCTAGGCGTTACCCTGGTTTTACTCCACATCCTAACTCGCTACTATACCGTGATGAATATTATTGTCTGCGTCACTTCCTCATCCTCCACATCCTCTCCACTGCACCCCACCCGATCCACGCTCAGTCATTCTGAATGTTCGCAGCTGTCACCCCTTTTCCAGATCAAGAAAAACAACGCACCTGTTGGGAACCCGTGGCCTTCGGAAGGCCGACCCCCTGGATCCTGCGATCAATTCCTCCTCATCCAGTCCTTTTGGGTGCACCCATTTTGGGAGTCTCCTTGTCGACCCGCAGGCCCAAGGAGGAGTACTTTGCCAAATTGATCGAGGATTCGATCCGCTCGGCCCCCGATATGCCAGACGAGCTGGATATCCTTGGTCAGTTCGGGGGCCTCCTGACCAGCCAGCCGATCGCTCAGTTCCGACAGCGGGCCGGGGTGACCGAGCCGCCCAGCAAGGAGAAGCCTCCAGAGGTTCCGACCGTGGGCGATGACGGCACCCCCCTGACTGAGAAGGACAAAAAGGAGCTCGAGTTCTGGATGAAGGCGGCTGCGTCAAACTTTGAGTTTGCCGCCAGGGGAGCCGCAGGGAACCCCGCGGCTGGCAGGTGGGGGCGAGCGCCCGAGGCCAGTGAGCAACTAGAGGGCAGGTACGAGAAGGCGACTGCAGGCCTCGAAGGGAAGGCGCCGTGGGCCAAACAGAAGGAGTTCATGCAGACTTGGCGGCAGGAAGAGTACGAGAAGCACATGAAGAGGAGCTCCAAGCCGGTAAGTACGAAGAAAACATGGGCAAAAACATGCAAATACTTGTCCATCGCACGGATGGCATGGAATGAAGGTGGAGGGAAGGCCGGATGGCTCGCAGCGTCCAAGAGGATGACCAAATGCATAGCCATGGGACCACCGTTCCTGAAGTACGACGGGTGGTCGGAATCTCTCAAAGGATTGTTCGCGGAGGAGGAGTACAGCGAGGAGTTCGACGAGACGTGGGCCCAGCGCGAGGAGTGGCTGACCAAGATGACGCCCGAGGAGACGGCGGCAGCTGGCACGGGCGCCCTGCCTGCGCCCGCAGCCGCGGCAAGCGCCCAGCCTGCGCCAGTAGCCGTCCTGCCTGCACCCGCAGCCGCGGCGGTTACCCCCGCGCGTGAGACGCCAGCACCGCGCGCTGCCACCATCGGCAGCTCTGCCGCCAGCAGCGGCTCTGACGCCAGCGGCAGCTCTGGCGCGGCTGGCGCGGCGGCGGTGGCAGCACGTCAGCCCACAGCGGCCGACAAGGGCATCGAGCGGAGCAAGCCCGAGAGCAGCGGTGATTCGGATCGTATCGAGGCTGGCGCTGGTGGTGGAGAGCCAAGTGAGCCGCCCAAAGTGGACCCCAATGAGCCCGATATAAGAAGAAGGGAACAGGCAAGGGCAAGGGCGCTTGCGGCAAATGCTCTCGGGGCAAGAACAAGAACGGCAACGCCGAGACTCCGCGGCAGAAGAAGACCACGAACAGCATCCCGACCGACTTGCTGACGGACGCGAAGGCCAGCATCGCGAAATACGGCCTGGCGATGATTGCAGCCCACATGACGATGAACAACATCACGAGTGGCAAGGCAGCGTGGGAGTTCGTGAAGGAGGAGCCTTCCCGCTACGCCAAGCTGCAGAAGGTTACCTAGGGCAAACGTCAGCCCACCTGCAAGCATTAACCAAATCCTGCCTTCCTCGACCTCATCCTCGCCCCTCCCTTTACCTATCATACCCCCCATCCTCGTGGTCACCCTGCCCAAATAAATGGAGGGGGTGCTAGATGAACGCCTCTAGAGTTTGGAGACCCAGGGCCATCCGTCCAGGATTGCGGGCGGACAGACAAACTAAGCAACAAACCGGACTGAGGTGGCGGGGGGGGACGCTGGAACGGTGACCCATGCAACGGCGGAATGGTGGTGCTAGAGAGCAGGGGGGCGTGTGATGGGGGTATTGAAGTCCTCGAACCCCCTTGTTAGGAGGTGTGGGGTTGTGCGGGAGTGGCTTGTCGACTGAGGTCCAGAAGGGTTGGCGGCCTCGACAAGGCGTTGACAAGCAAGCTGCCTGACGCCAAGAGAGTCCTGGGGGAATCCAAGTTCAACGCAGCGCTGGTGGCGGCATGCGGCCTCAAGAACGCTATTGAGACACTGGCCAAGGAGGATAAGATTCTCAACTGGGGGGCGCAGGCTCGCGAGGATGCCGACGGAGATAGGCTGATCGCGCCATGATGGTGCCACGCGCGTCGTCACGCTGGACATTTTTGTTATGCGGGATGCCCGCGCTGCTACATGTAAGGGGCCCACCTGGGCCAAGAAGGGGGATGGGGGGCTTCGCACTCGCGGGGAATGGCGACGACACCATTTTTAAAAACATAAACAACACAACCACGATTCCGGTTAAAATATCAAGGGAACCAACCCCGTGGTACCGTTGACGGACCGTTGACACCTGGACCGTTGAAGAACCGTTGACGGTTCGTTGGCACTTGCGAAAATGTGAGGATGTATCAGGCAAAACCCAGGGTCGACCGTTGACACCTGGCAACCGTCAATGCGTTGACGAACCGTTGACGAACCGTTGACGGTTTGGGACGAAGCCAAGTCGCCAAATCCATCGCGTTTCGGCCCCCCGAATAGAAAATACAGCGGTTTCCAGTCGAACCTAAGTGTTTACGCCATCGATTGTGAAAATCTAAGTCCCTGGGGACATGTGAACGCATAGTTCCCAAGATTCTACAATGCACCGCGTGGCAGTGCTGTGCACTTTGCTTGGGCGCGCTTCGTGCTGCGTGCCCGCCGCTTCTCTGCTGCAGGACTTGGTGGCTCGCGACTGTCAGCGCCGCGAGTTTGATTGCAGGCTCGGTCGGCCACCCGCCATTGACAACGCTGGCGCTGCCCAGCAATAACCGCGCGCGGTCAGAACCCTTGGCATCATCACCATGACCCACCCCCCTTACCCTGGACCAGCGCTGTTCACGCAGGCGCGAGACGAATGGTGAGACGACAAGGTTTCTGACCGACGTTGGTGCATACGCATCGCCGATGCTGCAGCCTCTCTCTCTCTCTCTCTCTCTCTCTCTCTCTCTCTCTCTCTCTCTCTCTCTCTCTCTCTCTATACCTCATATGTGCGCGTTACTTCCACAGTGGCGAGCGTTGTGCTATACTGTGCTTGCATCGCTCATACTGCTCACTTCGCACGTTCGACTCCCAAGTCTCTCATTCACTCTGCTCCCTTACTATCCATCCGCCTCCTCCACCACCTCCTCCTTTTTGTTGCAAGAGGTATGCCGCCATGGTCGCAACACAGCAGTCCTAACAATTCATGTGCACATGTTTTTCGTGGATCAGCATGCGATGAGTCGGACAACTCACGCTATGCACACATGTGGTTGCCCTCGCCCTCGTCTCCTCCACATTTCGATGAAGCGCTTGTTTCCTGCATCCAGCAATGCGACGCAGTGCCGCGATCGGTCTGTGCGACCTGGTTTAAGCGGAGGGGTGACTGCGAGCGCGTGGCTGTCAGGCAAGTAGTGCCAGCTTTCACGACGCATCATGCCCGACCCAGCGTCTGTGCCAGATATGATGGGCGGGCCACGTCGGGGCATGGTTTGTCCAGGCGAGTGGCAAACATTTGGAGTTTAATTTCCAGGCCCACCCCCCGTACCCAGTAAACAGATCGGCCACCCCATGATCAGGATATGTTAATGCAAGGTCTCATTCAATCCCTCCTGCATCAATGCACAGCCGTGACAAGTCAAAGCTGCGGTTCGGCGCGCCACTGCCCCCTAGCCCATCTGGGCCGGGATGGGCCGTCGGCGGCGAAGTCGGAGCCGCAGCCAGCGGGGGTGGGCGGGCCCGTCCCAGGAAGCGCGTCAGAATGGAGCGGATGCGCTGAGGCTCCTGGTCGGGCTGTATGCGTCGTGCAAGCTGACAGCGAAGGATTTCTCGATTCTGTGCTGGCATCTGGACAAGGCAGGTGCGCCAGGTGGAGACTACAAACAGTATGCAGCTAGCCCAGACCTACAGTCTGGGAAGTATCAACACCACCTTGACAGCGTTTTACCGAGCCCAGGGCCGTTGTATGAGATCAAAACACCTGGCAATTGGAATGGTCATTGGATGAGGAAAACTATGACACTGCCGTTCCGCACCGCGTTCGAAGCTATTAACGATGAGTACTTAAATGACGACTCTATAGCACATATTCTTGACGGTCCAGATGACGCACGACCCCAGTCTGCATTGGATACACGAGCTTACCAAAACCACCCATCAGTCGTGCAGGCCAGAGAAGCCAACGAGCCGAAACCTCTCCCTCTCGGGTTTTACCTTGGCGGAATATGCTACCAGAATGGAGCATCAGGGCGGCAAGACACTGTCTTGGGATTCTGGGCAATAAATTTAGTTTCGGCCAAGCGTCACCTACTCGGTGGTCTGAAACTTCGGGGCGGGTGTCGCTGCGGTTGTAAGTTTTGGTGCACTCTGTATCCAGTGCTGGTTGCCCTGTGCATGCCTTTTCAGCGAATCCTTCCGCACCCTGTTTAATATTGGGTGCGCTGGCGGTGCGATCGTGGATCGTGTCCGCTCCGATCGTGTCTGCGATGCGGCTGCGCACGTGACAGTGTGCACATCCACCGATGGGGTTCGAATCGACGAGGTTCGACATCCGACCGATGCGATCGAGAGTGCATGGGTGCGTACATGTCTAAGGCGCTGGATGTTTGTGGCGCTTGCGAACGGCAGATCCCCAGACCGCAGACACGACGGCAGCGAGTGGGAAGCGGGTGACCCTCTGGGGGGCAGAACGCCGCCGTGTCGGAAAGCAGTCCTCCTGTGGATCAAGGGGGACTGGGCCGAGCACAGCAAGTCGCTGGGCCTTGCTGCCTGGAACAGTGTGTATAACCCATGCCAGTTCTGCAGTTTGACAAAAAGTGAGTTGCATTCGATGAACTTGTGTTTATTGTGTGGCAGTCCGATCCGACATGGCCACTTCGGGAGCGCGATGACTACGAGACATCGTGTCGCTAATGCGAAGTCCACGTCACTTTCCATAGTTCGGATGAGCGCCAGCGTGTTCTGAAAAACATCGAGTGGACTCCCAAAGGTGGCAACCGAGGACCGACCATCGTCACTGATATTGTCGTCGGCGCGGTGGTTCTTCGATCAGGGGGTAGACTTGGAGCCATCAGAGTCCCTGCTGAACGTCGGCAAGTTCGCAGTGGCGCAGCTCCCCCTCAGAGTTGTATTCTGGAGAACGAGGAGCGGACCTGATGGTTCCGCGTTGGATCCTATGGCACACAGGCCCTGGGACAAAGAAAACCGCCAGGACCGTCACCAGTTCCAGTGGCAAGCAACATTATACAACACAAGGGGTAATGTCAGTGGCAGGTGGCGGGACTGGATCTTACATTATGGTCGCGCCGTCGAGGGGTAGGGAGTTGAGCAACGTGATGACAAAGTGGGGTATCTAGGGCAACGCCAACGCGTGCTGAAATTAGCCGAGGACAAACGCTCGACTCGCTAACCTTGAGATGTCAAACACTTGATCCAATATGGCAACGGGGTCCCACACGTCCTCCCCATAATCATTCATGTCGCTATCTCCCTCCATATCATCTATCCCCCCGTTCATATGTCTTCTCACCTCTTCTCTCCACGCTCATCCCTGGACCACCTGTACTCCTGGATCTGGTCACGCGTCCTGCCCATGCCACTGCTGCATAACGTTAGTGGACCCTGTTTTGAGGGGGGGGGGCGGGGCAGCGAGACAATCGCTGGTTTTGCGAGTTGCAAGAGGTGCCCACTTTTTGGCAGCACCGACCTCAAGACTTCTCCAAGTAGGAGCCTGGCGGTGGACAGCCTCCACACACTCTACTATGGCCCCGTTCAGCGCTATGTGGCATCAGCTATGTGGCGCGTGCTGTCGCTGAACCCTTGGAATTGTCCAGGGACCTTGAAAGCGCGGCTCGAGATTGGATGTCGGCGACTTTCAGAAGACATGACTAGATGGTTTCACGGCGATGGGTCGTGGGTGCCGCATGGACAGCGCATCGGTTACATCACATTGGGTTCGCTGGGCTCCAGGACACATGTTCAGGATCTGTCAAAACACCCTGGGGGTCAATGGGCTTCAAAGCTGCAGAGACTGGGATATTGCTCGAGTTTGCGTTGTACGAACTTGAAAGCACAGGCGGTGCCAACAAGTACGGTTCTGAAATGACGCACGCTGGACATACTCTATGTAAGTATCTTCAACTGGTGCGCGATAACCCGTGCATCGTGAGCGATGAGGTATGCGAAGAGCTCATGGTATGCATGTGCGTGCACTTGCGCTGCTGCGAGCTGGTCGGCATCACTTTGTCACCAAAGCATCACTTATGCGTGCACATGACCGACAGGAGCGTGATCCAAAAAATGGCTCCCCAGAGCTGGCGCAGATGTGCATAACCCCTCTTGTCCCGCCCCACCAATTCAGAAACGATTGGGTGCGTCCCCACTGGGCATGCGTGTTGGGACAAGGGGAACCACGCGTATCTGCGCCGGCCGCGGGCGATGGAGTCAGTTACAAAGGCATGATTCGGGCCCGCGGTGTGGACGGCCGTCGACGTTGGTGCGGACCCCACACAGTGATTCATTGCGGCACAAGTGCCCGCATATGCAAGCGCTGTTTTGGGGCGCGGAATGACTTACTGCGACCGCATGATGTCTGTGCAAACTCAATTGTAACGTCGGGGCCGTCGTCGCCGCCGACGAGCCGTTGCCTACCACCACCCTCCCACCGCTCTCGCTGGGGGAGAGTAACGATAATTAGACAACGATGAGAATGAGGAGGATCACCATGGATGGCGATGAGGACGAGGAGGATGACGACAATCAAGACGACGAGCGGGGACGGTGATGTGGTCGGGAGGTCAAAACGATGAGAGTGACGTGTGATTTGGGCCCGCTGGTAACATCAGGATTTACGAGCACGGGCCCCTGAAAATGTACAATGTCTTCGTCGACGAAACTCTCAACCTACCAGTGAGAAACATAGCTCGGTTCGCTCACCGTATGACATGTCACAAGAGACTCTTCACGCTTCTCGGGCTGCACGGGTCCCTTAATTTGTTGCAATACATCCCTGGCAAGCGATGGCTCCCCTTGGTATCTGGATTTTAGTTCTGGCGTCGACCTTCGCAGTGGCGCCCGTGTCGGCTACTGGACGGGCGAGGGTTCGTCGAGCCGCT